GCACATATCAAGGCATGAATTTGTATTATAAGAGTTCAAATATCTGAAAAAGTAATTTATTTATAGAAGGTGTCAACTCATCGTTAAAGACAACTAATGCTAGCACGGTTTCATATAAGGGTTTTATTGAAAGCATAGAAACATTTTGGGGCAAATAAAGGCTCCGTCCATGTGGCAGATTCCCAAACACAATTTTATGCCCCTCATAACTAAACTGATACACACATCTTCCGTTCAAATACTGTTAATCTACGACCGAAGGGTCGTGTATAGGGCCCACATTGTGCTAAAATAAACCTTATCTTAATCACTGAATGGGCAAATCATATCTGATGTCCTTTAAAAACGCTTCTCAAGAATTGGAGCATTGGTGATTTAATGGGATAAACATGTGATACACAAACAAAAGCCAGCTGTGCAAATATTAGTTTTTTCGAAACAACTAAGTTTGACATAGTCAGAATTAAAATTTTTATCCACCTGTTCGAAAATCCAATATGGCGTCTATAATAAAAAATAATGTTGATGGTTGAGGAAAAAGGACGAAACGTCATATTCAAATTCTAATTCTGCCATAAACCCAGGAAAAGATAAAAGTGATTTAAGGATTTTCTTAACTCATCTAAATGCACAAATTTGAGCCCATTTAACCGATTTCGTATCTCTTACCGTTTCCGCGATCACAATGGTGAGAGTCGACTTTGAAACATCCAGTATAGTAAAGCAGTAGTAGCTCGATAAAAAATGACTCTCTTTTCGGGAACACGATAGAGCAGTATATCACCAGGTAAGCCGGTATCGAGCGAAATTCAATATAAAAATTACAGGAGCTACAGCTCGGTATAACTCATAGGATGCTATTGAAAACAAATAGATTGAATCAATATTTGGATGTATTGTGAAAAATGACACTGCGCTCAAAGTATTATTAAATGCTTTAGGCCTGAATCTTTTATCTGTAGTTATACTCGTATAATAGGATCTATGTTTTACTTCCACTGCCAGTAGGCCGGGAAGAACTGCAATCATCAAATTTAGAAACCACGGATCTATACTTTGTTGACATTTAACGGGACATACATCATGAGCAACTTTGAACTTTTGTTAAAGTAACTCAACAAAAGCAGTTGCAATCAATGGAAGCGTGGGACAAACGTAAAGCAGTCCAGCGGTGCAGCGCTTTATTTTAAATTGTAGTAACCGACATACCTGGCAGCCAAGTGAAAAGCGCTATCACACTGATAGAGGTATCCCATGGCTACTGCTATACCGCGCAAAAGCGCTACACCGCTGGGCCGCTTTACATGATCTGATCGCTTCCAATCCACAAATTAGGAGAGATTAGAAGGAGGCAAGTATATAATGTTCACATTGGATCGTTTGTCCTTTTACCGCTTAGGAGAAAGGTTAACACACAAGAAAAACGTGTGAGCCAAGTCTACTCAATGGACTCCATTTGAATCGAAAGTTGACTAGGTATGTTCACTGCCACTTGATCGATTTTCCTCTATTTTCTTCGACAAAGCTTTTCCGTCCTTGACAAAGTATCAACGTTGGATCAAGATTTCTTCAAAATCCTATCAATTACAGAGCGGCCAAGTATTGGCGTATAGATCGACAGACAGACGGTGTGAAAATACAAATACAGTTGGTGGACAATGACGCCTCCTTCTTGTTCCGATGTCACCTTCACTAAAACCCTACATTTTACCAGCTTTGAAAAAACTGTAAAACAAATGTTGATAAGAAAATTAGTTTATACAGGGTGTAAACGTTGTGATAGTCATTATTTAAATGGGTGATGGAGGGGGTTCAAAGAAGCCAAAAGTTTCATATAACATGGAGGTCACAACGGCATTTTTTTACAGAAAAGCGACTTTAAAGAAAATTAAAATCTGACAACGCCGCAATGCCAGACGCAAATTACGACGGAAGGCAGTGTAAATAAGGATGGAGTTGGTTATTTTTGATTCTTAGGTATTATTTCATTATTTGATAATGTACTCGTAAAATGTAAAGAATTAAAAAAACGGACTTACCACTAACTGTCTCAGCTCTTCACCTGGTGTGTGAAAGTTTATTGAACGTATTAAAAAAATCCACTCATAAATAGGGAACACAATTTTGATACATACATTGTTTTTCTTTTTAAAACCCACACTGCACTTTTTTGTATTTAGAGAAGGTGTTTAAAATGTCGTCCTCCACTTTCCACACAAGCTTCATTAGGACGAACCCACTTTCTTCATACTCTAGGTCCTCGAAGTTGTCCATTTATTATTTCAGCCGCATAAATTTTTTTTTCGCGAAGTTGTGCTTCAGTTGTTATTGGACCAGCCCTATAAACCATCCCTTTAAGTTCTCCCCAATACCAGAAATCCATCGGATTGAGGTCAGGAGATCTTGCTGGTCATTTTCGAGAATCAGGAGCATTTCGACCGATCCAGCGATTGGGATAATGTTCATTCAAATGCTGAATGACGCCTCTAAAAATGTGTGGTGGTGCCCCGTCATGAAGAAACCACAAATTCTGTCTCCGTTGTAACGGCACGTTGTCTAAGGTCTGTTCCAAAAGTTCTGGTAGGTTATTGGCTAGAAAGCTAAGGTATTCTTCTCCTGACAACTTTGGGGGTAACTTGAAAGGGCCAATTACACTGGACAACAAATTTTAGTTTTTTAATTGTATCTTGTGGGAAAAGTGCACTTCATTGTTAATTTTGGGGCGCTGAATCCAAAAATGGCAATGAAATAAAAAAATTAGTTGCGGTTTAGAAAAAAAACTTTTTATTTTTAAGGATATATTAAAAAAAGTAACAAGATTCATATACCTATAAGAATCACTATATGCGCTGTCTTTTTGCTGTTCTTTTATGGATCGTTTCTGGAGCATCTCTACCAAGAGTCCAACAGTAGTCTGCAAGCATGGAAGGATTCGACTTTCCCTGGTACCTTTTTTCCATTGTTGAAATATCCTGATGAAAACGTTCGCCGTGCTCATCACTTACGGCTCCGCAATTGCCAGGAAAAAAGTCCAGGTGTGAGTGTAGGAAATGTATCTTAAGAGACATATTACAGCCCATCTTTTGATACAATGACAGCATATTTTTGACAAGGGTTTTATAGTTGTCAGCTTTTCTATTTCCCAAGAAATTAGTGACCACCAGACGGAAATCATTCCAAGCAGTTTTTTCAATACCTGTTAAAGTGTTTTCAAACTGTGCATCTTTCAAAATATTTCGAATCTGTGGCCCAACAAAAATACCTTCTTTAACCTTTGCCTCACTTAGTCTTGGAAATTTCTGACGCAGGTATTGAAAAGCTGACCCATCTCTATCTAATGCCTTGACAAAGTTTTTCATTAGGCCCAACTTGATATGCAGTGGTGGTAATAATTTTTTTTTTCGAATCTACTAATGGCATATGCTGTACATTTTTTTGACCTGGCTCTAGGAATTGACGAACAGGCCAGTTTTGTCTCCATTCTTCTGGGTTATAGTTTATATTTAAAGCCGCCAGTAAGCCGTTAATGTTACTGCAGAAAACCAAGCTATTCTCCATATTGAAACATGGTTCTAAGTCTTTGTGGCGTTTACGAAAAACACATACCGAAACATCGTCTTCTAACAAGTTCCACTGCTGCAGTCTTGATCCAAGTAACTCTGCCTTACATTTTGGAAGTTCTAAATCTCTTACAAGATCATTTAATTCTGACTGTGTTATTTTGTGCGGTTGGTGGCATGACGTGCTCGGTATAAAATCAGGATCTCTTGACGTTGATGGCATATCTTCTTCCTGACGAATCACTCGATCGCCATGATCTGAGTCGTTTTCTGATTCGCGAGTGTAGGATTCTGGGGGCTTTGGAATAGGATTTTCGTCACTGTGAGGCACAGGTCTCATCGCAGATGGTATGTTTGGGTAGTTAATAACAGATTTTTTTTTTCTTTGACTTACCTGTGGCTTGTCCAACACAAGGTACCTTGCAAAAGTAACAATCATTAATATGATTTGTAGGCTCTCTCCAAACCATTGGGACAGCAAAGCGCATAGACCGTTTTTTGCCATTTAACCAGCTCCTCAGACTTGAAGCACATGTATTACAGCAGATGTGGGGTGCCCACTGTTTGTCTTGATCACCTAGTTTACAACTGAAATAAAGCTGATATGCCTTTGTTATTAGTGGAGTAATAGATCGTCTCTGATACGCAAAAGTCACATCACCACACACGTAACAAAACTGATCTGGATTGTTTACACACTTTCGAGACATCTTGCATGAACGCTGTCAGCCAACTGAGGAAAAAATGGCTAATATAAAACAATATAATGTACACGTATGTATAACGTAACACAATCATGCCGATTACATCATCTTTCCTTGCCGAATATAAAAATGTAGCACATGCATTCTTGTGAATTACAGTATATTAACACTGTCACAGCAGGAACACATATAATTACCGTATCTCTAAAACTTGAACTAATATTGAAAAGATAAGTTTCATTCCGGTTTTAGCTCATTAAAAATAGTAATATTTTGTTGATTTTATTTAGGATATTTTTTGGCTGTTGATCAGTGTTACCTGATCGTCAAGAATACGCGCCCAAGTATTTATTTTAAAACGTTGTTGGAAATGACCTTCACGAATGGTATGAGGATTTTCTTGGGCCCACGTGTGGGTATTATGGAAATTTAATATCCCGACTCGCGTAAAAGTACATTCGTCCATCGCTAGAATGTTTTTGTGCAAAAAACACTGACAGAATGTTAGTCTGCGATGATAGTCTTCTGGTAACAAGGCCTGTACTCGTTGTACATGGCAGGGATAAAGCAAATTTTCCCGTAGGATTCTATGGACTATGATATGCGATAGTCCTACGCGGCGGCCTAATTCCCGAATGCTGACATCTGCATTGATTTCCAGGATATTTAAAATTTGTAACAGTAACCTGTCTTTCACGAGTGCGAATATTAGTGGGCTGAACACTTCCTGTATCTCGAAGTCTTTGGAACACTTGCACAAATGTCCTTCTGTCTGGGTGTACCCGTTGGCGAAATCTGTCGCGATAAATTTGAGCTGCAAGATTGGAATTCTGTCGAGCTTCACCGTAAACTAACAACAGGTCGGCCAACTCTTGATTCGAGAACATTGTAAATAAACACGATGACGTACGCGAACAATAACTAACCACTGTTACTGTTTGCGATCGATTGCCGGTTCGATATGAGTGATGAATGACCGACGCGCTGTTGTCACGTGTGTTTTAATTTAATGAAACTTACTTACCTACTGACTATAAATATTTTGGCTTAACTTAATTCCATTTATTTGTTAATTACAAAATACAAAAACGTTTTAGATTAGATTATAGAAATTAGTAAGATTGTGGTGATTGTGGTCGAGCACTTAAAGTTGTCAACTATAAAGCCATTTAGACAGAAATGTGTTGACTTTTGGACCATGGGTCATATGAATTTTTTGACTTGTTTTGACCCTCCCTATTACCCATTTCAATAATGAATACGATAAAATTTACACCCTGTATTACCTACAGTACCAGTGATATATATTTTGTGAGCACCTTCTTTTAGTCCTATGTGATTCATGTTTTTAGAATGATATATATATATATATTTAAATTGTAGGTTTACATTACATATACCATAGATACATTGTATGTCTACGATTTGTTAGCTTACATATGTAAAGAATGCACATTGGCTGAAAATAGTGCAAGTTCATCGGTGTCTACAGCTGTTCTTAAGAGTGTTTGAGTCCAAGCCCGTTGACCAACAATTTTGATTTTTATGATCATTTGAATTGAAACGGTCAAGCATTTTTTGACACCAATTAACCCTGGCTGCTTTCACCTCTTCAGTCGATAGGTGGGGTATTCAACGAGAAACTAATTTTCTTACTCCTAATTCTTCATGTAAAATTTTTTGAATTGAGGTCTTTGAGATCTTCAAGGATGCCTCAATCGCGCGATATGTCACATGTCTATCTTTAATGATGTGTTTGCGCACTGCATCGACGTTTTCCTGGGTGACTGCCGTTTTTGGTGCACCCACCCTGGGATCGTCGCTAAGACTAACCCGTCCACGTTTGAATTCTCCGTACCAACGGGAAATTGTCGACTGATGTGGCGCATCGTTGCCGAAAACAGTAACTCAGTAAGGCATTGTTGTTCCGATAATTGTCTCTGAAAGATGTAATACATTATGGCGCGAAAATGTTCTCGGTTGAGTTCCCTTTTTCTAATGACTTGCTGACACTTAAAAATTCACAGTAGTGAGAACACTGCACGTATTGTTGTGAAACTTTGAATTTCAGTTTACTAAAGAGTGAGGTTAAGATTCAGTACTGACGTTCGATCCTGGCGGCCTACTTTGTTTCTATATGCAAAACTTAAAAGACATCCCTCGTATATGTCCCAAATATACGTTTTTATGTCTTCTAATTTTGACTAGTAGTTCTTAATCCTGCCCGTTCTGTATGAGACTTCTTTGTTAGGAACGCGATCTGTCCCTGGCATTTCAACATACTGTTGAGGAGCCATCTCAAGGACCTCTACGGTAACCAATGACCCCAGTTTGCGCTAAATTTATTTTAGTATTTCCCGAAAGATTAATAAATGAAATGAAAAAAAAAACATTTTTCAAAACAATCTTTTACTTAGCTGTTACTAAATCAAACTGGAAATTTTAAAGTAATGTTTTCCCGATTAGAAATATTTAAACGATAATGAAGCTCCTTCATCTTAAGATTTGAAATAATAGCCCGTTACGTCTTTTTTCCATCCTGCTGTCAAAACATAACACACTTTTATTTGAAAATTTGCGAAACGGGGGCTTCACTATCGTTTAGATCAGTGGTCGCCACCCTTTTCAGTGTGTTGAGCTACTTTGATAATTTTGGAATAAACAGTGTGCTACCTAGTCGTAAGCAACGTAAGCCAACAAATGAAATTATACACAAACATACATGTGTTTATATTACTAATACATATTAATAAACTTAAATAAATATTAATAACTAATACATACTACATTACATCCATTTCTACTAATTGTATGTGTTTTAAAAATAAACAAAATTTTTCGTCAGCTACAATGGCGTCACATACGATTTAATAAAGGTGAATAAAAATAAAAAGGCAACGCCCTATTTTAAACGAAAACATGTCCAGAAAAAAATGCGTGTTCAATGAGAAGCATGACACTCAGACTCACTGACGATTTTTTTAATGTTTGGAATATAATTTGATACCGCTATTCTAATACAATTATCCAAATGTTCATCTGTGAATCGATTCCGGTATTTGTTTTTGATAAACTGCATATTTGTAAAAGAAGATTCACATAAATAGTTTGAACCAAATAACGCTTTCACTTTCAAGGCAACACGACATAAAACTGAATAATTATCTTTACTTACTGCAGGCCAGATACATTTTGTATTTGAGACTAATGATTTTAAAGCTAAATCATTTTGAAACGCAATCTCTTCCATTTCTGTCACATGATGTCTTCGCTAAAATTCTGCGTAACAGAAGTTGCAAGCTGTTGGATATCAATTTCCATGAAGCGCGAAACAACAAATTGCGCCACTATAGCAATTTCGTTGAAATCCTTGAAACGATTTTTGAAGTTATCCTTCAAGCTAGAGACTATTTCTACATCATATTTACTGTCATATCGTTCTTTGAGATATGTTTTCTGAAAGAACAGGAAAATGCCTGGTATCACCATCGATTAAGTTTTGTTCCCAAAACTCAAGCTTTTTGATAAACGCTTTTATATCAAAAATCATTTCTGCTATTTCTTTGTATCTCCCCTGAAGCAGCAAATTAGGTTCACTTAATGTTTCTGTAATATCCACAAGAAAACAAAAGCTAAAGCCAGATTGAATTTTTTAGTGTCGGAATCGGTTCATCACGTTGTTTGAAAAATTGAACTATGGCAGATATATCAATAAAACGCTTCAGTACTCGTCCCCCACTTAAGAATCGGACATCAGAGTGAAGAATTAGTTCCCCGTATTTACAGTCATTTTCATCGGCCAAGGTTTTGAATAATCTTCTTTGTAACGCTTGAGCTCTAATCTCGTTCACAGTTTTTACTACCAATTTTATAACGTTGTTTAATTTTAGAAAATGTCCACATAATGCTTGCTGATGGATAATGCAGTGGTAACAGATAAATTGCGGAAAACTTTCATCTTTACGACATAACCCCACGAGACCCTTATAACGACCCACCATAGCTCGAGCGCCATCGGTTGTTAAGCCTACACGTTTCGATATTGGAATTTTTAATAATATTTTTAAAAGAAGAAAACAAGTCCTGTCCAGTGGCCTGCCCTTTTAGAGAAATAAGGTTCAAAAGATCTACTTTAATCGTAAAATCACTAAAAACATCCTGACACCTGGTATGATGCTTCAGTTGCAGCCTTACTTTTGTCGATTGTTTTTAAAAACATTGTATGTTGTCCAATTAACTGATTTTTAACAGTTTTCGTTTTTCCTTTCTTGTTGCAGAACGTAATGGGAATGATTTTTCAAAATTCGAATGTACGGTTTTATAGTGCCTCTTGATATTCCCTTTTTTAGCAACGGAAACATATGTATTACACAACAAACATACATTTTTACCTTTAAGTTCTGTAAAGAAGTATAGTTCTTCCCATTCCGAATGGAAGTGTTATGTCTACATCTTCTTACTACTGCTCATAATGTTTTTAATTGCAGGCCAACTCTAACCCAACCGCTGGACTTTCTGCCATTCAGTTTTAAACTGTCGCCGCGCCTTGGGTATTTATTCAATTCAAAGTAATCGAGATCGTTCTCGAACAGATCGCTCACCGCAGTATTGCCGCTGCTTGTGTTTATTATGAGAATTTACAAAATTTACGGAAGCTTTTATGATTTTTACACCTTATTAAAATATGTTGTGAGCCACCAGAATCGCCATTGCGAGCTACCGGTAGCTCGAGATCGACGGGTTGGCGAGCACTGGTTTAAATATGCCTAATCGGAAATCCATTATAAAGGTTATTGGTAATTTATTTGATATCGATATAAGCTCATCAAAATTATGTTTTCAGGAATACATTGTTAAATTTACGCTAGCCTTCAAGTAATGCTTGTTGAGTATATTATTGTGGCTATATAATGAAGAACCTGCTTATATAGCTGCAGTAATATAAGCAGATATTTTGATGACAACGTTATGTATGTAGTTTTAATCCCGGTCTTAAGTTAAACGGCTGACTTGTTATACTGGCTTTGTATGGTGTCTTGACGAGTTCAATAAAGCTCAAATACACTGAATAGTGGTTACCTTTGCAATAATACAAGTTGTTTCATAAGTTATATAATAAAACAAAGCGATACTTTTTTATCATTTAACCAGCAAATTACCAACCAACCCACTTTATCTTTGTAGTTTACCGACATTGCCTATTTTTTCAGATGCCCCAGTTTGCAAAACCAACAAAACCATAGTCGTCGGCGCCTCCCGCGGAGAAAGCGTGGACATCGTCTGCGAGATCGAATCCGACCCCCCAGCCAGATCGTACCGTTGGAAGTTCAACAACTCCGGTGAAACCTTGGAAGTGTCATCGGAACGGTTCGCTTCGACCAGCAACGGGAGTATCAGCATCTTGCGGTACACGCCGGTGTCGGAGTTGGACTATGGGTCACTGACTTGTTGGGCGAGTAATCGGGTGGGACACCAGGTGCAACCTTGTGTGTTTCAGGTGGTTGCTGCAGGTGAGTTATGGGGCTTTTTTATCTATAATGCAGGCCTAAAAGATTTTTACTCTGAAACCAGAGTATATTTCCTCGAAGGGTCTTGATACTTTAAGTGCGAACCTGTGGTCCATATCTCTCATGTGGCTCAAAATTCCGCGTTACACAACCTGTGTGCTAATATAGTGATTTTTCTATATTTGAGGCTATGTAAAACCATATATTCATCATATATACTTTTTTGGTCTCTATAATAAAAAATCGATACACCACTAACATTACCTAACCTAACCGAAAATACGTATACCGTACGGAGCGCAACAGTACGCGACCAACTAGTCACATATACCTAAATACATTTTCCTCACAGCTTTCTTAACTAGATATATTTGAGGTTTATAGGGTTGGAGTTGTAGGTTTTGAAAAGTATCATACAGAGACCTTTAGAAACCATAAAAAACATCTGTAACTGGTTGACTTTCGACTACTAGGTGGTGATAACAATCCAGTCGTAAAAGATTTGTTCCAGCACGGCATGGATCACCTTCAAAACTAAACGCGCATACGCATTTCAATATATTTATTCCACAAGACCATATTCCGATTTATTTTATTGATGTTCGTTGCTCCAGCACATATCAAAGCAAGCAATACAGGATGTCCTACGTAGAACTACAGAAACAGATTTGTCAAAAAGTTGACGTATAACAATTATCAAAATTTGAGTTTATAGTAATTTGGCAAAAATGGCTTGAAAATGGTAGTAACTTTGAATAGAACACCCTATATATCATTCAACGTTTGGATTCTACGCAAGATTCTAAATATACATATTTTATGTATTCCATCGTATATCTACCTAAGTCTATCCGTTTTTGAGCTATCTCAAATTTTTCGTAATAGTCTAATCATATTAGCAAATTTCCCCGAAATAATTGTGAAGTCGGGTTTTATCGGTGCAAGTTGTTCAAAGTCGTATTTGAAACATGAACGCATAAAATGGGTGCACCAATTTTTGAGGGAAAACCTTTTATTTGACAACAAAGAATGAGAAAACGTGTTTTTGGGATTCAATCGAAAGTTTTGGCTGGGTTCGTTGACAGAACATTTAATAGCAAAATAAACGTCTTTACCTTGCCGATATGAATCACATATCATTCCGAAAGATAAATGTTATTTTTATGCGAAAAACAAAGGTCACGTTATATTCCGGAATATTTTGCGATTCATATCAGCAAGGTAAACTAGTGTATCTTGCTACAAAATGCCCTTTGAACTAACCCTGTATATTGATCAATAAACTCGTAGTGATGGCCGGAAAACATGTGTTATGGGATAAGCAATTAGAAATTCTCAAAAACTACTTAACCAATCTACTCCATTTTTGTTGTGGTTATTTAGTACGGATCCTACGAATTTGAAGAATTTCAAATATCTGCGAGAGACCATCGTCGCCAACAGGTGCCAAAACCTGCAGTTTGCCTTGGTTTTCGGCCATAACTTTTTTACTATTAATCGGATCTTTTTACGTGTGGTCTCATATTTTGTAGGTCTCATGAATGCCTTAAAATCTTGTATGAAAAGTTTTTTGGTACCTGTCAATACTTTCGATTGAATCCCAAGAAACACGTTTTCTCATTCATTGTTGTCGAATAAAAAGTTTTCCCACAAAAATTGGTGTACCCATTTTATGCGTCCATGTTTTGAATATCCCCTTGAACAACTTGCAGCAATAAAACCAGACTACAATTATTTCACAAACCATGGGTATTTTCGTCTAATATGATTAGACTTTAACGACATATGAAATGGAACGGCTTCCTGATAGTACGAATAGGGGGCTACTTCAGTAGATCCTATTCCGGATTTGGATAACGGATAGTACAGAATGGGTGGAAAAAGTGAATCAAAACTATTTTTTAGAAGAGTCAAATTTTACAAATTAAAACCACCTTTTTCATAATTTCATCCTTCTAAGAAACACAAATCAGGTTAATTTTGTGCAAAATACCTGGAAATTTGGTTTTATCTTGCTTGTATGAACCGTACATCTTTTACCATGGGATAATTTTAATTATCCTTGACGCGGCAACAGCAACATACCTTTTGTAGTTTTCCCTATGGCCTGCCGAGATTATCTTATCGTATCTTGTACTACCTGTACTATCTTTTACCCAAATTGGGAATAAGATCCACAAAAGTAGGTCCCCTACTATAGATACCTGTTACAAATCACATTGCAAAAGCAGACTAAGAGAAAAAATTGCGTCAAGTAGCTTGCCTCTGTACTTCATTCACAACGCTGTCATCATAATGGCATACAGGCATATACAATTAAGATTTGCATATTTAGCATGCTTTTCTGTACAATTTTGGGGCTCTCTGGTATTTGACCTCCTAAGAAAATGTTATATAAAGTTATCTCTTGCCAATCAATGACCCGTTTCCTAGCTCTGAGCAAAAAATTACAGCGACCACACATGTTCGAAAGTATGACTAAATCTTGCATGGATGTTGGTCGGCGGTCCACATCCTCAGCAGTCGAGCAGCGGCAGCCGACTGCAACACACATGCATCGGTCGAACACGAAGCGCCTGGTATAGATACGCGATGGTTGGAAACATTTTAAGTTTTAAGCATAACTGCGTAAATTTACCAGGGCTGTAGGCGGAAAATATACCAACGTCAAAAAATTTAGATACACCCTCTCCCACCCCTTGCAGTATCTAATGAATAAATAAGCCTCTACAAATCTGTTTCTGAAAATGATCAGCAGCGTCTGAAACATCAAAAAACTGGACCGATTTTCGAAAACTATAAAGGTTTTTCGTCCTTGGCATACTAGCAACCTTGTGGAAAAATTTCATCAAAATCCAAGTGACAGACGGGCCAAGGATTAGCAGACAGGTTAGGCAGACCGACGGAAATGAGTTGACATATTTTTTTGTATATATACATCCACAAAACATCATATCCAATTTTCCAAATTTCTCGCGGTTATAATACTTCCTCGCCAGTGCCAGTGACATAAGAAGTAAAAATTTCGATGGCCTACATCTGTCATCTTTTACGCAAAATTTGAGGTATTTCAGAAACACTTAGGTTGATGATATTCATGAAATGTGTTTAGAATCTCGGGTAGAACCCAAAAGTTGAATAATATACTACTGAAAATCAGCAGGTTGCTATGTACTCCCGGTACAACCAGATGTGCCACCATTTTGAAAATATTTCAGCAGAATTTCTCTCATCAGTTTTACTGTAAACCTAATTTTCCGTATATTTACTAGAATTTTGCACTATAATGACAAAAATCCACGATCCACCCTGAAAGACAAATTTAGAAAGAGAAAAACATGTTTACGTTGGAAGTTAAATAAGGAATTGTTAAAATATTCACCTAATTAACAACCGATATATCACCTTTCTTTATTTTCTCATGCATTTGTTTGTTTTAGATTTAGTTCTATTAATAACAGCTTGTTTCCCATTGGTGGAATTTGCTCCGTAGGAGATCGTCTATGCTCATTAAATCCATTACTTCAAAAACGGCCTGAAATTGGTGAATTTGCACCCTAGGAGCAAATTATGATAACCGCGCGTAATAGTAAAATCGTGCCTAAACCAATCTTTGTTCATTTTACATTTGCGTCCTTTTGCTATGGATTTATAGTAATCCAGCAGAAGGACGGAAGGGTTCAAAACGTTGCATGACACTTATCAGTTAACCGCTAAAGACATTTCTGGATAGAGTCGCTTTCTGCACTTGAAAATAGTCTCTATCGGGCTCTGTAAGTGCATTAAGTCGAGACATAGCCGGTGCTTATGCAAAAATAAATGCGACACAACTGGGACAATGGTGGGTTTAGACTTCCACACCGGAACCGTATTAGTTGAGGATTAGCTCAATATTTCAACGTAATTATGCTATTTGTAGGTAGTGCTGAGCCTTGACCGCTACGATATCATTGGGAGGGATCAGTCTGATAGCACAGTTATGCTGCACAAATTCGATGTTTGCTTGTAAAATACCTTGATTTCTATAATTGTCCATGCGGCACACCGGGTGTTTCAAATTTGACCTTTTGCATTGAGATTTCGGTAGCGGTAAGGGATACGAAGTTGCTTAAATGGGGGCAAACTTGTGTATTTAGATAACCAACAAAATGCTGCTTAGAAAGTTTCGAAATTCAAAGGATGAAAAGGACCAAATTTTTCCAAAATCGTTTTAATTTTTCCCCGACTTTATTTGCTGTGAGATTTCAAATTGCCTATTAACATTGCCACTTATTCTTGTCTACAAGATGGCGTGGTTAGAATTTCAATACGACATTTCGTCTCTTCAACTTCATTTTTTCCTAAGGACGTCATATTGAATTTTTGCACAGGTGAGTATGGCTTTTAATTCTGATTCAACAATTGTGTATGTCATCCATTGACATTGCAAAACCTTCGTAATTAAAAAAACAGAATTTCCTGTACTTATCAGACATCATTTGTTTCGCGTGCCACATTTATTCCGAAGTCATTTGTATTTTTTCCGGACTTTGTTTGAGATAGAATTTTGAAATAAATTGCATGTTGTCAATTATTCTCTTTTACAAAATAGTGTCGTCAAATTGTCAATTCGAAGTTTCTTCTTTCGACTTGCATCACAAACTTTGTTTGTACATTTAAATGGACTTTACAGTCCTAAGTTTAGCGATGTGTTTGCTTTGTTGACAATACATTTGTTGTCGGAAGGAAAATTACAAAGAAATTAGGAGGTATGGTGAAACCTTAACACAAAATGAAATGTTTATTGATAGTAATAATAATAATAACAGGCAGAGGTAAATCATAGCAGATGCTCAAAATGTCTCTTCTCAGTCTTCCGAACTCTGTTACCATGTTTAACTTGAGGTCTGGTCTGGTATACGAAACAAACGACTATGATAATTCCAGGGCTAACCTAGGAAAATTTGTTATTCTGGAATAACCGGGGTTTTGCAATGCCAATGTACGACAATACCAACCCTGTA